AGGAATTGTCTATGCTCCACCGGTTCACCCCTCCTCCCAACCCCTGGCCCCTACTGGCCGTTCTTTCACTGTCTTCCTGTCTCCATGCTTTTGCCTTTTCCAAAATGTCAGTCAGAATCACACAGTGTAGCATCCCCAGAGTGGCTTCTTTTTTTTTTCTTTTTCCCACATCTTCCAACAGGGTGGCTTCTTTCATTCCTCCCTCCTTCTGAGCGAACTTACTTGTAACCTCATCACCATTTCCAGGTCACAAATGAAGACACCAAGGCACAGAGAGGAGACTCAGCCTGCCCACGGTCACCTATCTGGTAAGTGGTAGGGCCAGGGTGCAAGCCCAGGGCCCCAGTTCTCATCCACTGGGCCCCTGCATTCGTGTGATCATTGTCACCATCCAGGAACAAATGGCCCTTCCAGTCCATTCTTAGAAATCAGGTCAGTGGGCCACCCAAAGGCTGAGGAAAGAGGAAGAGGGGATCTCTGACCCCATTCCTGGGGGCTTGCTCACCTGTACCAGGCTGTTGGATGGCGGGCATGGCAGGCAGCAGGTTCAGACCCTCTCTTCACAGCTCCTGGAAGTAATCCCCAACTCCATGAGGAAGCAAGAGGTGCGGACCGGCAGGGAGGCCGGCCAGGGCCACGGCACAGGCTCCCCGGCGGAGCAGGTGAAAGCCCTCATGGATCTGCTGTCTGGGAAGGGCAGTCAAAGCTCCCAGGTGCCTCAGGCCCTGGACAGGACACCGGACTCCTCGCTGGGGCCCTGCAGCAGTGGTAGGACTGGCTTGGGAGGCAGACACGGGGTGGGGGATACCTGGGCTGTCTGCGCCCACTCTTCCCTTACCCACCCCCCCCACTGGCCTCTCTCCCACAGATTCCATGATACAGAGGCACCGCAAGGCCCTTCTGAGCAAGGTGGGAGGTGGCTCGGAGCTGGCCGGACCCTGGCACAGGCTGGCCTCCCTCCTGCTAGTGGAGGGCCTGACGGACCTGCAGCTGAGGGAGCACGACTTCACACAGGTGGAGGCCACCCGCGGGGGTGGGCGCCCCGCCAGGACCGTCGCCCTAGACCGGCTCTTCCTGCCTCTCTCCCGGGTGTCTGTCCCACCCCGGGTCTCCATCACCATTGGGGTGGCCGGCATGGGCAAGACCACCCTGGTGAGGCACTTCGTCCGCCTCTGGGCCCATGGGCAGGTCGGCAAGGACTTCTCGCTGGTGCTGCCTCTGACATTCCGAGATCTCAACACCCACGAGAAGCTGTGCGCTGACCGACTCATCTGCTCCGTCTTCCCGCACATTGGCGAGCCCAGCCTGGCGGTGGCAGTCCCAGCCAGGGCCCTCCTGATCCTGGACGGCTTGGATGAGTGCAGGACGCCTCTGGACTTCTCCAACACCGTGGCCTGCATGGACCCCAAGAAGGAGATCCCGGTGGACCACCTGATCACCAACATCATCCGTGGCAACCTCTTTCCGGAAGTTTCCATCTGGATCACTTCCCGTCCCAGTGCATCTGGCCAGATCCCGGGGGGCCTGGTGGACCGGATGACGGAGATCCGCGGCTTTAACGAGGAGGAGATCAAAGTGTGTTTGGAGCAGATGTTCCCCGAGGACCAGGCCCTCCTGGGCTGGGTGCTGAGCCAAGTACAGGCCGACAGGGCCCTGTACCTGATGTGCACCGTCCCAGCCTTCTGCAGGCTCATGGGGGTGGCGCTAGGCCACCTGTGGCGCAGCAGGACGGGGCCCCAGGACGCAGAGCTGTGGCCCCCGAGGACCCTGTGCGAGCTCTACTCGTGGTACTTTAGGATGGCCCTCAGCGGGGAGGGGCAGGAGAAGGGCAAGGCAAGCCCTCGCATTGAGCAGGTGGCCCACGGTGGCCGAAAGATGGTGGGGACATTGGGCCGGCTGGCCTTCCATGGGCTGCTCAAGAAGAAATACGTGTTTTACGAGCAAGACATGAAGGCGTTCGGTGTGGACCTCGCTCTGCTGCAGGGTGCCCTGTGCAGCTGCTTCCTGCAGCGGGAGGAGAGGCTGGCATCGTCGGTGGCCTACTGCTTCACCCACCTGTCCCTGCAGGAGTTTGTGGCAGCCGCGTATTACTATGGTGCATCCAGGAGGGCCATCTTCGACCTCTTCACTGAGAGCGGCGTGTCCTGGCCCAGGCTGGGTTTCCTCACGCATTTCAGGAGCGCAGCCCAGCGGGCCATGCAGGCAGAAGACGGGAGGCTGGACGTGTTCCTACGCTTCCTCTCCGGCCTCTTATCTCCGAGGGTCAATGCCCTCCTGGCTGGCTCCCTCCTGGCCCAAGGCGAGCACCAGGCCTACCGGACCCAAGTGGCTGAGCTCCTGCAGGGCTGCCTGCGCCCCGATGCTGCAGTCTGTGCACGGGACATCAATGTCCTACACTGCCTACACGAGCTGCAGCACACAGAGCTGGTCCGCGGCGTGGAGGAGGCCATGGAGAGCGGGGCCCTGGCCAGGCTGACTGGTCCTCCGCACCGCGTCGCCCTGGCCTACCTCCTGCAGGTGTCCGACGCTTGTGCCCAGGAGGCCAACCTGTCCCTGAGCCTCAGCCAGGGTGTCCTTCAGAGCCTGCTGCCCCAGCTGCTCTACTGCCGGAAGCTCAGGTGGGCGCCAGAGCGGGGGTCGGGGCTGCGGAAGGGGCAGAGCAGAGAGGAGAAGCCATCCCCTCCCCACCACCGAGCTTCTCCATCAGTCTTCTAGGGCTGCTGTAACAGAGGACCATGAACTTAGTGGCTTAAAACAACTGAAGTGTGTTTTCTCGCAGTTCTAGAGGCCAGAAGTCTCAAATCAAGGTGCCAGGAGGGCCACGTGCTCTCTGAAACATATAGGAGAGGTTCCCTCCTGCCTCTCTAGCTTCTGGTGTTTGACGGCAACCCTTGGCTAAAGGCTGCATTACTCCAGTCTCTGCCCCGTTGCCTGGCCATCTTCTCCCTGTGTCTGTCTCCACATGGTGCTGTCCTCTCTTTTTTTGAGGTAGAGTCTTGTTCTGTCGCCCAGGCTGGAATACAGTGGTGCGATCTCGGCTCACTACCAACTCCGCCTGCTGGGTTTAAGCAATTATCCTGCCTCAGCCACCCCAGTAGCTGGGATGACAGGTGCCCACCATCATGCCTGGCTAATTTTTGTATTTTTAGTAGAGACGGGGTTTCACCATGTTGGCCAGGCTAGTCTTGAACTCCTGACCTCAGGTGATCTGCCCACCTCGGCCTCCCAAAGTGCTGGGATTACAGGTGTGAGCCACTGCTCCTGGCCAGTGCTTTCTAGTCTTAAAAGGACACTGTCACATTGGATTACAGGTGCACCCCACTCCAGCATGACCCCCCCTTAACAAAGTACATCCGCAGTGACCGCATTTCCCAATAAAGCCACATACTTGGGGCATCGGGGGTTAGGACTTCATATCATTTGTGGGGACACAATTCACTTCATAACCCCTCAGAACCATCCAGTCTGACAGAAGCTGCCCCCCTGAATGCTCTCAGCCCACCCCCCGCCCGCCGCTCTGGACCTTAGTGAGTAGGGAGAAAAGGACACAGGCTGAGGGTCATCCAGGTGTCCCGCAGAGGCAGGCGGCGTGTGGGGTGGTGAGGACGACAGCCCATGGAAGATGCCATTCTGCATAGGAACTGCAGGTCTCACGGGGACCAAGCCTCCTGTTCACTCTCATGGGAAAGGTTCAAGCCCTGGGGCTGAGCGCAGATCTCAGAGCTGTGGTGATGGCGCTGAATGGGATGGAGAGAGGCAGAGGCCCCGGGCCAGAGCCCCCACCCTGCCAGTGGGCGGGTGGGACACTCACTGTCACTGCTCCCCTTGGCCAGGCTGGACACCAACCAGTTCCAGGACCCCGTGATGGAGCTGCTGGGCAGCGTGCTGAGTGGGAAGGACTGTCGCATTCAGAAGATCAGGTAATGCAGACCCAGGGGACCCCCAGGGTGCCCACGGTCTTGTGGGGTATGGAACCCTCTTCTCATCATCCTCTACTCAGCAGGCCAGTGGTGCTGCCACGGAGAGGTGTCTTTGGAGCATGTGGCTCCAGATGCAGCCTGCTTGTTTCTGCCCAATTCCAGAAAGTGCCAGAGGCTCAGGTGCCTCATCAGGAGGAAGAGGGAGGTGACCTGGCGGAGGACTTGACACCGTTGTGTACGGGCAGGTGTTTCCACAGCACTGCATGTGCTGACATAATACCAAGCACAATGTTCTCTAAGCACCTCTCCAAGTTTGCTGTCCAACAGCATTCTAGGCACAGGATTGCATTTTTTCCCCACCGAGACAGAGTCTTGCTCTACTGCCCAGGCTGGAGTGCAGTGGCACGATCTCGGCTCACTGGTTCTTACCTCACTGGAGGCAGGTAACCTCTGCCTCCCAGGTTCAAGCAATTCTCCAGCCCCAGCCTCCCGAGTAGCTGGGATTACAGGCACCCACCACCACGCCTGGCTAGTTTTTGTATTTTTAGTAGAGATGGGGTTTCACCATGTTGGCCAGGCTGGTCTCGAACTCCTGACCTCGTGATCCACCTGCCTTGGCCTTCCAAAGTGCTAGGATTACTGGCGTGAGCTACTGCACCCAGCCAATTGCATTTATAATTAAATTTTTAAATTTCAAATTTAATTTAATTTCAAATTTAATTATAAATCAGTTTAAACAATTTTTAATTAAAACTGCATCTTGTGGCCAGGCGTGGTGGCTCACACCTGTAATTCCAGCAGTTTGGGAGGCCGAGGCGGGCGGATCACGAGGTCAGGAGATTGAGACCATCCTGGCTAACACGGTGAAACCTCGTCTCTACTAAAAATTAGCTGGGCGTGGTGGCGGGCGCCTATAGTCCCAGCTACTCAGGAAGCTGCGGCAGGAGAATGGCGTGAACCTGGGAGGTGGAGCTTGCAGTGAGCTGAGATCGCGCCACTGCACTCCAGCCTGGGCGACAGAGCGAGACTCCGTCTCACAAAAAAAAAAAAAGAAGAAGAAAAGAAAAGAAAAAGAATGACAAATTCTCATTATTAATACTTTTTTTCCTTTGTGAGAGCCCCCAGCATTTTTAGCACCTGACAAAATAGCCAACTTTTAGTTTTGCTTAAAGGAAGCTAGGTAGTGCTCAGAAATTATTTGGGAGCCAGGCACAGTGGCTCTTTCCTATAATACTA